TACGTTTACAAGCATTTTTAACTTCCTGTAGGGCAAGTTATAGTAATCACAAAAAAATCGAAAATGAAAATTTTTATATATCTTTACGTTTCAAAACTTTCTGAACATTTTGGCATACCTTAGAAAAAATTGATGTATGTGTGTGTGTGTGCGGATACAAATTTTCGTCGACGATTTCGAGAACACGGATGAAATGATTTGAATAATTAAAAAATCATTCGATTCGTATGATAAGGAGACGTGCTAATTAGTTTTTGGCGAAAGCAGGTTTAGCCGTTCCGAAGATATGGGGCAAAAAGTGCCAAAAACGGTAACCCAGTTTTTAAGAGAAAGGAGCGTCCGATTGGAATAATTCAAAAAACATTTTATTTGTATTAACAAAATGAAGAACTGATTTTCATAATGGCAGGTCTAGCGGTTTCGGAGATCTAGTGAAAAAGTACAAAAAAATGCCATTTGGCGGTCAAAAATGATCATTAGACATATGCAGACAGATATTTTATAGAGATTTTAACAATAAGTAAAATTTTGTTTACATTCCTATGGGTTCCGTACCAATGCTTATCCGTTAGACGGCAACGCGGCGCTTACGCGCTTCGATATTTCGTCTTTGTGCAGTTAAAGCAATACGATTGCTTTGAAAAAAAGTTCAGAATTTCCAGAATATTTCAAATAAATTTTTCTTCAAAAGTCTTTCTTTTTTCAAAAAAAATGTTAATGTTTTTTAAAAAAAAAAAATTTGGTACGGAAAGTTACAGCAATTTGCATTAAGGCACGATGCCATGCGCCCCACTAGTTTTTTCAATTTTTTCAAAAGAATCGTTTTTTTAAATATTGATATTTTTAAAATTTCAAAAATTTTGATGTTTTTTGATATTTCTCAAAATTTTGATTTATTTTTGAAAATACTGAAAAATTTCGAAAATTAAAATTTTTGATTTTGTTTGAAGATTTTGAAAGTTTAGATAAAACAATTTTTTTACACAGTCAACTCATTCAAAATGTTTTTCGAATCATTCTAATCCGATGATCCTCTCATAAACTGCACGACCATGGACTATGTTTTGAACCCTTTGTGCTCCGTATCTGCAAAACGGCTAGACGTGCTAAATCGAATTGCATTTTTTCGGCACTTCTTGCCCCCTATCTTTGAAACGCCCATATATGTCTTTAACAAATACTAATCAGCACGTCTCCCCAACAATAAGAATAGAATTTTTTTTGAATCACTCGAACCGGTTAACCCGTATTCTCGAAATCGTCGAGAGGAAAAGTTGTATCCGCGCATACATATACAACATACATTTTTTAAAGTTCAGAAGGATTGAATCGTAAACATAAAAATGTTCATGTTCGATTTTTTTGTGATTACTATAACTAAAAGTTAAAAATACATTAAGTTTGGTGAAGATACACTTATTCTCATAAAGATATCAAACAAAATCTTTTGTCTAGAATATAAAACGCGTATATGGCAACATTATGATTTTGCTGCTGGATAAATGTTTTCATACTCGTACCGGTAAGTCATTATTTTTAGACAGATAGATATTATATGAACAAATAAACATATGTATAAACTTGTTGAAATAACAAATTTTTGAGTAACATAATGTCCCTTACTAATCAAAGAATAAAATAAAAATGATATAAATAGTAAATTCGACAATAAATCGAAGAATCCACTTAAGATATTTTTTAAATAAATCATAAATCATCGTACAAAATAAAATTGAGTAGTCATTGTTCTTAATAATATTAGGAATAGTTTTAAAACATTATACGTAATCAATTACAATTTTTTATTTTATTATATTGTGTGATATGCAGTAGAATCCGCTTAGTTTGACTCCGTATATACCGACCAACCGTTTATACCGTAATTACACTCAAAGCTTGGTTTTATATACATTTTTTTATAACAGATATAATGACTTTCTATAAAGTGACATGTTGCTTATTATTTGCGCATTTAAAAAAAATATATTTCCTGTTATAATGACCGTCAAGCAATTACTTTGCTTCACGAAAAGCAAGATTATAGTCATAATTAAATAAGCATAATTATAGTTATAATAAGCATTATTATAGTTACTTAACCGAAACTCAGATTCTTTGACAGACACCGAAAATATGGTAAAATTTATAGATATATTGATAGAAACAAATAGTATGCAAAAACATGTAAAAATTATAATTACATTTACTTAATAATATATTTGTATTTACATAATATATACTTAAGTGTAAATTTTATTTTCATTTAATATGTTTGTATTGAAATGTATTACATGCATTTCATTATAACTACATGTAATGTAATTACTGTGTAAATCTATCAAAATACTTAAATACATATATACAAATAAATATATATATATATTTACATAAGATGTTTTTTTTAAAACAAATCGCTCATAACCTCCATTTATAATTACGCATATGTCGTTCTCTTCGACGTCATACTATTGAGGATTCTACCGTATTTATATAATATTAAAATATATAAAAATCAAACAACCTAGAATATATATGATACTAATATAAAAAGTATTGCTTTGCATAATGAAATTTGCTCAAATTGCATTATGCTATAATTAATTATATTCATTTTTTACACTCACCGACTATCCTTAAATTTCTTAAAAGCTTGTGAATGCAGTTATCTATCAATTCCAGTATAAATTTATTTGTGTTATCCATTTTCCGCAAGTTGTATTGTTTTTTAGATTAAAATTTAAAATTTAACACTTAAAACTTACATTATAAATAAGAAATAAAAAAATAAAATCGGAGGTTATGAAATAATGGGTATGATTGATGTTTACATGTTTACAACTTTGCAAATTTTTTGTTGTCTCCTTAATTACAATTATTAACGACGTTCATAGAGGTGCATACGTTTATAGATGGAATGACAGGTGCATAGACCCATAGATTAGGATATGCATAGACCTACACAACCATTGACACAAACAATTGTTATATATAGACATGAATCTTTATACTAATAGGTGTGATAGCCGCATAGGTGGCGCGCAATCTTTCAAGAAGAGTTTTATTGATATACTTTTCTTATATCTATGATTGATCAGAATTGTATTTTAATCTTTATAAACTCATTTTAAATTATTTTAATGAACTTACATACGTTTCGAGTTCCAATTTGACTCTTCCTTGCTGGATAAAACTCACAAAAGATCGAAAAAAAAACAATAAAACACAAAAACCACATTCCATGAAACAATACCCAAGTAGCAGTCATGTTAGTGAAAAATAATAAAGAAAATTTAATTTAATTAAATATATGAACAGAGTCTAACAATCGGGAATAACATCAATAAAAACATGAATTTCTAATTCTAAAATCTATACATTTTGGCTATAGTTTAGTCTTCATTCGGTGGAAACTAAAAATAAAATTTTAAAACTAGAATGTATAAAAATTGGGTTGTTATAGTATTATATATATATATATATATATATATATATATATATATATATATATATATATAGTACCTTAAACTTCATACAAACTATAACGACCAGATGTTTATAAAAAAAATAATGCTAAATTTCAATGCTTTTTAAGACACCAATTTCAAGAAGACTGAAGAAGAAGCTGCTTAAAGATATTATAGAGGACTCTTAGAACTACCGCAACTTTATATGAACAGAATAGTAGAATCGAAGTGATTCTCTAATTATCAATATAATATTAATCAGATTAATAGATCGAGTGATTGACATAAGCCAACTAGCTCATAAAATTGTCCTGTATTCTGATTGCTATTGAAAATAAAATTAAAAAAAAAATCAATGTTTAAAAAATAAATAAAAACAAAAGAACAGGTTTCACTTAAGTGAACACCTCTTGTGTACTACTGAAAGCACCAAAATTTTATATGGCAGGAACGCAATGACTAGAGATAAATAAACATAAGACTAATTGCAAGACACGGAAATAAATACAATTAGCGCATGGGTCAAACAATCTTCCATGGAAGCATAGCAAGATGCTAAAATAAGATCATATTTGAGATCTATGATCTCGGGTAGAAATCTGATATCACACTGCCCGATACAGAGGTGACCGAGGTTGGGATCAAACCTGAACTAGGGTTTGCTAGTCTACGTCTTTACCTCTACTGGCTGTATTAAATAGACTATAATACTTACAATATGATCAACACAGGCACATGTCTTTCTACCTGTATTGCAACCATAGTCTTCTGACTCTTTTGAATCCTATAAATAAATCTGTTATATACAGTACGCCCACTTAAATATGATAGTTGTATTTATTTCTCTAGATTATCCTAACATTTAGATATAAGGTATGAAATTAGTAATTCATATTAAAAATCTTCCAATTATATATAGTTCTGTTCTTTCAATGAATAAATTCGGAATTCTGTGCATGTGCACATTCTCGTATAAACATATATAGTACAACAATATGTCTACTTTTTTATCTGTTAAAATTAAGCCTAGTAATAGCATGCTATGTACTTTGATTGGTGAATGTCTGCTAACACAATAACGATAAATTGATTATCGAAACCGAAGAGGGTGACATAAAATAATAGACTACACTTATAAAAAAAGTAGTAAACATCAAAACAACAACCAATAGTTACCACTTAATATTTGTGACTACAAAAAGGTAATATGCATAGCAAACAGAAGCAGAAAACTCCATTACTCCTTTAAGAAAACTACAAAGGAAAACGATTCTGGGACTAGAAAAAAAGTGCAAAACATGGTGCTCTCACAACTAATATCAGATGGACCAATTTTTATTATTACACCTATTATAGATGCGTATTATTGTTATATTAATTAATTATTATTATTGTTATGTTTTGTGTATTATGTTATTATTGTTAATAACCATAATCTTCAAAACAGTTGAAAAACTTCCACATAATCCCATCTATTTCCTTCTTTATAATTCCATATATGTATGGAAATATTATAGGAAAAAAGCTTTATCCTTTTTATTAATATTATATACTTCTAATAAAACATATTACACTTTTTATATTGAATTTGTTACAACTTATATCCATCATACTATGTAAAATCTTTTATAAAAAAAATTATTTTCCTGTCCTTGTCGTATATTCTTGCTCCCACGCTTCATCTCTTTGGCGGATTGCTAATAATTTTCTTTCTGGAATAGTTCAATAGTTCGTTAATAAAATTATTTTAAATTCTTGGAATAAAACGAATTGGCCAAGATCTGGCAAAGACCAATGTCGATACTGTTAAAGTAAAATAATAATTTACAAACATCATTGATTTAGCTTGTAATAAAATTATTTCTAGCCTAAAAGCAACGATTAACCCTCCGTCGGTCGGATATTTTTTCACCTTCGAACGGTCGGAAAGGTCTGGCTGGACCACATGCATTTATATGGGATAAATGAGTTTTTGGTGCCTGATGTATTAACGATTATATAAAAAAAATCAAGAAATATAAAAATATCGTTGCTTTTTTTGTTAATTTTTCTGTTTTAAATCAATGGAAAACAATATTTATTCTTTTTCGGCGCCTTTGAAATGAATGTGTGCATTACTCATCCGATTTTCAGTGTTTGCGATTACCAATAAGTTTGGTAGGTTTTCAAGAAACTTTCGTCATGAAAATACTAACATTCATGTTAGAACACATAGCAAAGAATATAAACAACGCAGTTTGAATAGAAAATACCATGAAAAAAGACAAAATACTGGTTTAAATATATCAAAAAGCGTATATTTCATACAAAATGTATGGGTGGTCTAGACAGACCTTTCCGACCGTTCGAAGTATAAAAAAGTTAATATCCTTATAATTATCCTTCTGTACATTTTTTCGTCCTGATTTTTTCATTGATCGACAGCTAATGAAATTTTAGGAAAAGTCAAGAAATTTCAAGTCGATAGGATTACTAGAAGTATATTTTTTTTTAATTGAAGTCGAAAAAAGTCTGGTCAGACCACGCCGACCGACGGAAGGTTAATGATAATAATTGTACAGGTTAAATGGTTTCTGAATTATCCGTATTTTATTTAGTATCATAAAATACTATATAACCCTTTGAGGACGAGCGCCGCATATATTCGATTTACGCAAATCATCAAATTGGCCGAAGAACTGATATATGCGTTTGGCGAAAGCAGTTGTTATATCCGAGAAACGCATATATTTGTCCCACCAAAATACATGTCGATGTAACTTGGAGTGTTACTTGGAGTGTTATGAACTAAAGCCGCCGTTGAGCAGAAGTATGCATAGGCAATTTTAAATGACTATGGTGGCAAGAGCTCGGCACGTCTCGTCTCCAAAGGGTTAATTCTACAAAATAAACTGAAATGTACCTTTGGCTTCTTTAAGCAGCAAGCGTTCGCGTTCCAGGTCCGCAGCTGCCGTCTTGAGGCGCAGGCCCAATGCACCGCTAACTAACCGGCGAGCTAATGCCGGACACGTCTCAGGCCTCGTGCGATACGGTTGCAAAAATTCCGCACACCGGCGAGCCTTTTGCCTCGACTCTGATGTACCTTCGCGTAGTGGCCGCGTTTTCACGAACGGCAGGTCTTGTGACAATGCCTCTTGGGCTGATTCAAAATACTTAAGTTATAGCATATAATTATTATTGAGGTACTGAACAAAACTATTGAAAGTAAGGTTGCTTAAATCAAAATCCTATACTTATTGTTCACAGAAGACATTAAGTAACCCTTCAAGCAAATGCATGCAACTTCTGATATGTTTAATTTAATGCAAACGAACACAACCGTTAAACCAAATATTATAAATTATATTACACTATTAACCCTTACCGCTCGACACTGATTCAAAAACAATCTACCACCAACTCGGTGCCACATTCTGACGAAAACGTACTTGCTCTAAACTAATTATTGCGCATCATTGTATGTTATTCAATATGTTTGAATTGAATTTGTAAAATTATTTTCTGCGTTATTCGTATTAATTAATTAGCGTGCCAGATTTTTTTTATCATTGCACGGAAAATTGTAATAAATCGTAAGAAATGAATACATTATAATTTGTTGATGGAAGAAAGATGATGAAATAAATAAAATGTCAAGGCCGCAGAAAAATAAAATCCTTGATCTATTATATTCGACGCTTCAATAGGAACTGAGCCAATGTGTATACAAGTTGCCGAGTGCCTCAGAGGAAACAGCCGAGCGATAAGCTAGACTTACGTTGTTCCCTCAGGGAGACTTCCGAGTGGGAAGGGTTAAAATATAGATGAATACAAATGACATATAAATAGTGATACATAATATTTTCAATTTTACACCTATAGTAAAAACGTACCAATTTGTACACTGCTAAAAACTGCTAATGCGTGCGTGTCATCTACCCATTTGATTTCAAATCCAGTCGATTTGTAGGGCGAGAAGACTGATAAAAGATCTTGAGTTTTAAATTCGGCAGGAAAGTCATAGATTTCTAAAACATGTGCAAAACTGTCATCTGATATCGTAGATGACTTATCTTTATTTTGAAGTGATTTTTCGCTATTACTCTCTTGGGGAGATATTGTTGCTTTTCCTACCATATGCGTGAGGTCTTCCCAAAGCTTTGAATCTAAACAGTCACCATTTTCATCATACATAGCTTCCCAGTCATCCTCTTCCGGATTAATTTTGTGAGATTCTGATGTACCATAATGTGTCGATTTTGGTACTGTTATAATAGGTTCTTCTTTCGTGCACGCAACATTACGTTTGTTTTCGATTGTCTTTTTCTCCGATTTGGTAGGTTCAGATTTTCTCTCTTTCTGTTCGTCGGAAATGATGAGTACATCTGATCTGAAACTTTGTTTCATAATTCTTCTGTTACTCCTGTTGATCTCTTCCGATGCGCGTTGCAGTTCGAACAAATCCCGATCCTCATCCATTAGCTTATCTTTCCAATCATCACCGTTTCCGTTCATTTCGAAGTTACTTTTTTTTACATTAATTGTTTCGTTACTGTTGGACGACATTTTATTTTTGTACATATTGAGTTTATCACAATTGTTTTGTTGAGAATATTCACTTGATTCGTGGTTCATTTTAAGGGGAGAATTGGCTGTTTGCGCAACGGCGTCTCGTCTCGCTCGAGGCACATATACTTGTCTATCTGGTCTCCGCTCACGTTGACTTACAGAGTTTTTCGGCGAGGTTCTGCAATTAATGTTATCGTTAGTAAGTAGAAATTGACATCTAAAAAGCATAATCTATACTTCACTTGAGTTAGACATATAAAAACTAATATTTCCCAGTAAGAGTCAAATTCATTATTTGTGTGATACACGTTCAAATACTGTCATTTATAAAAATTAAAGAAAACTGATATTATATGAAATCATTTCCTCATTGTGTTTGTCTAATTATTACCTCCACATGAAGCGATAATCCAATCCCCATTCGGGAAAATGTTAGGTAACATTTATTCCGTTACGCTGTTTACAATCGAGATTTATACATCACTCAACGTAAAATCATGAAGTGAAATCTTACGACAAACAGTTTCAACACGAATACAAATATTGTATTATATAATATTCAAAATGCCTTACATAATTTATCAAATATAATCATATAAAATATAATAAAACATAGGCAACATAGGCTTTGTAGTTATAATATGCTCGAAGCCCAAACGGTTGGAGGAGTTGAATTTTAATACCTTTTATAAAAATTGTTCAAATTATTTTAATTAAAGTCGCAAATTATGTTGAGTCACTATTAGAATTAGAATTGTTCAATATTGGTATATTAATTTTAACTCAGAAACTAATAGTATTGAATTGAATTATTAGCTGTGGTTAGAAAATATTTTATTGAAAGTCGAACTATAATATAATTTTATAGATTTCTATCCCATTCTAGATATTTGTGGTACAGAAAATAGTTTAAGCAGGTTTAAAAAGAATTGATAAAACCATATTATTAAATCAAAACTAATTAACTATCCTTTTCTCTCATCTCATCAGAAAAAAACGTTAACTCACAATATACAAATTTCAAGATTAATACTAATAGCGCTCATTTTTATAATTACTTGCAAAACATTTTGGTTTATTCGTTGTATTTTCAATTAGTTTAAAAATTAATTTTATAGAAACCAAAAGAATCTTGTTGTAAACACAGGTAAGGGCACGAAAAGTATTTGCTTTCCACATCGCAGTTTATAAAGAACCCGGAATGGGCTGGAAAAAACAATTTTCTTAAATCTTTTAATTTAAGGTGACCATAAGTCTCGAATTGCCCGGGACAGTTCCTAATTTCCACCCCGAATCTCGAATTATTCTGAATGCAATATTTGTCCCGGATTCAAGTTTTCTTGTTCAGGAAAACTTGTTATTTTCAATATTCATTTTAAATATATTTCAAGTTGCAATATTTTTATAAAATATGAACCGATAAAACTGTGCTTGACACGACTTAAAATAGATACATTAAAAGCGATTTTATTTACTAAGTTTGTTATGAAGAAAATTGTGTAGAACTTTGTGCAATGCTTGCGAAAAAAAACACAGTTCAGAAAATATATAATTATTCTCGGTAATTGATAGAAATAATTAAAAAGCTTATTTTTATTATATCCTTAAATAAATAAAAAAGCCATAAGTAAGTTTTATATGCTAAGTACACTCTTTCCTAGAAGTTTCCATCCTCAATGTGTAGTGTTAAAAATATAGCCACAATATTTAATTACCTCTCATATAAGATTTCGACTAACAACATTTACAACACAAATCCCAAGAACAAAACAACATTTTCACATGCAAAGGGTCATCGTATGAAAACGATGAACCTTCTATATGAACTCAAACGTAGAGAAAAGAGTGGCTTTGGTAGTGAGAGGATGAAGCGATCGCTTCTTTCGACCCAAAAGTTTTGTGCGAAGACATACGGGAATTCGGAGTCGAAGGAAAAAGTGATATAATTCTGGGTGGATATGAGGCCATGAGTTTCCCGCAGACACAACAATTGATTTTAAGATATCATCATATCAATCATCATCAATTAAAATGTATTTAAACATTGAAAATTACAGTTCTAAAGAACTATAAATTACAAGAACAAATTAAATTTTCTTAATAATTTCATTCAGAGCAATAAATGTTGAAGCATGAGTAGACACACTGGATGTCGTCTTTGAACTACACTTTTACATACAGGTCGTCAAGCCTATGTCGTCTATAAACGACGCTCGTTGCAAAAAGAATTATGGGTCATGAATTTGATAGACAAGATTTCAGAAGCAATACGTGATAAATATTGAACTGGTTAGCAGGCCATTGCAGCACAACCACCAGTTCAATTTTCACATAAACTAAATACTTTATCAACTTAAGAGGGCGTACACTAATAACGCAAGGTTTTAGGCGGAGGGGAAGGAGTATAGTAGGTGTATTTATTTTTTACCTGAATTTTTTACTAAATCCAAACATTTTCAAAAAAAATTCAAGAATTTTACAATTTTTTCATGTAACCAAAAATACACGTGATATTTGGTGATGGAGAGGAGGAGGGGGGTAATTTTGAATATCACCACTTATCAACAAGGGGGAGGAGGAAAAATCCTTTTAAAGTCAATCACGTGATTAATGGACGTCCCCTAAAGACAATTTCACAAATAGTAAACAATTCAAATGATCATAATAAAGCATGATAATAACCCTAATCAAAACATAAATTTCTTTTAACCATACTTTGAAGATAATCCGTACAACGATTGTAAAAACGATTTGCTAAAGGTTTCTTCTTAGAATTATAGAACGGCAAGGTCATAAATAAACGGAACGGCATTTCCATCCTTGTGCGAAACCAACATATGGCTCTTGGATAGTATTTTAAAGTTCAATAGACGAAGTAGAAATATGCCATGAGAAAAATGCTTTTCCCACATTAGTTTTGCACACGTTTAACCTTTATATTGCATTTAGGAATTACATTTTAAAAGTGGAAAACATCATTGGAATTTCAGATACAGATAGAACACATGTATCTTATATAATTGCATTTGTATGCTTGCTAATTCCTACTTAACACCAAGTAACAAAACGACAGCAATTGAAAATTAGAGCTTTGTTTTAACCATATAGTATTTCGTTCAACTCAAGACCGTCAATCGTCAACGATATGAATCCTAGGAAAAATAACTAAACAACGACAACCTGAAGAGTTTCAAAATGCTGGAATGGGGAAGATTAAATAAGCTGAGAAAGATAACAGATGAAGAACTCTACAGGACGCGATTATATAAACATTTTTATGAAAAACTATAAATATGATATACATATAATGTATACAATATGTATGTGTAAATAAACATACAGTAGAATCCGCTTATTATGGCGTAATCATACTACGAACTTTAGTTTTCTTATAGAATTCTTTATGAAACAGTTGGATATAATGGCTTCCTTCACATTCACATGTCGCTCATACTGATTTTTTAAACAAAAATGTTCAGTTATAATGACCGACATGATTTTACATCTCCGGTTACTGGGGGGAGTAAAAAGCAGCCTAAAAACCTTGCGTAAAAACAAAGACACATTAACCGTTATTTTTGCCTTTTGCTAATTACTGACGCCTCATTTAAATAAAGACTGTTTTTCACCACTTTGTACTGCTTTTGTAGTTAACTTGTTAACCTAATTGTTTTTATAATTACCGCCCGAAAGCCTGGTATTTTCGATAGTCCGGGACCTCGGCCGGTCCCGAGAGTCCCGGACTAATGGACATCCACTGTACATACAAATTTACATAAAATTAGGTTTTTTGTTCAATATGCTTTGTATGACGAGTTTTTGGTGCCCCTTTGATGTCATACTAAGCAAACGGATTCTACTGTTTTGACGCTGACGATCCTGATCGATTGCTTTATGCAATGTAGTGCAGTATTCATCTGTTGGCCAAAACGCTTCCCCAGTATTTACAATTAGTTCAAATATTAGAATATAATTCCAGATTTCCTGACGATAACAGTCAACATCAATCGCTTTTCGACATTACTTGTGATTGGATCAATTTCTTTTTTATTAACACCTGATCCATCAGAAATTCAAACAAATAAAGTTAGAAACTAGTGGGGTGTGTGGCATCGTGTCTTAAGGCAAATTGCTGGAACTTCCCGTACCGTAACGAAATGTCCGAGGAATACTGAATGTTTTCAAATAGATTATTATTAATATTGTAACATTGTCTTATAAATATTTATAAGAATTATATAAACTGAATTGCAAAGTTGAAATTATTTGTAAAGTATATTAGAACTATAGTCAGAATTAAAAATAAAATCTGAATTATTTTCGATATACAAAAAATTTAAAAAAAAAGTCGAAACAAATTTTTTTTTCCAAAATTAATTATTCTGTTAAAACAAGCAGAAAGTTCTTTTAATCATTTAAATCGGACGCTTAGTTCTCTCAAAAACTGCCATTTTTTACATATTTATCTCCGTATCTTCGAAATGGCTGGGCCTGCCTTTGCCAAAAACTAATAAACACTTCTCCCAATCATTACTAATTGAATGTTTTTTAGATCATTCAAATCGGATACTCCGTTCTCTCAAAAAGTCGATTTCTATTTTCTGCACTCTTTGCTCCGTATCTCCGAAACGGCTGGACCTGCCTTAGCCAAAAACTAATCAGCTCTTCTCCCTATCAATAGGAATCGAATGTTTTTTGAACCATTCAAATCGGTTGATCCGTGCGCCCGAAAACGTGACTGGAAATTTGCATCCATACATACATACATACACACACACATCCATTTTTTCTGAAGTATGCCAAAATGTTCAGAAACCTTCAAAACGTCGAGAAATGTAAAAAATTTCCATTTCGATTTTCGGCCCATTACAATAACTTACCCTACGGGAAGTTAAAACACAAGAATGAACATATTTACAAGGAGATTTGTTGTCTAATGTCAACGAAAATAGTATATAGAAACAGAAGAGTATAACTGATCATTGATTAGAAACAACATAGAAAATATAGGACAATTTATATAAATAACACAAGAAGGATTGTGTGAACTTCTGGAAAATAGCTATAAATTAATAGTTACACAAACACATGCATAAGTATAAAATAGAGATATGTAATATCTTTATACTTATATACCTATATTTACACGCGGTATATATAATTTAAGATTAAACGAAACTTTTAAACTTGCATATACATAATAAAATTTCACTATTGCAAAATCAATCTTACAGTATGTTTTCTGTTATTGAATTTATTTATACTTGCAACACAGAACTTAAATCACATATTGTTTATTCTGACTAAACACAGCCAGTTTAAATGCAATATTTTCGAATTTACAACAAAGTTTACTGGTTTTACATTGCACCTGCACATTGAAGACAAAAACAACACTTAATTTTTTGAATAGTTTCTCAGCTTACACAACCATAAAGAACCGTACACAAGCTAATACTATGCACTAGCATCGTTGTCTTTTAACTCGGAGAACGAAATGAAATGAAATGAAATGAAGACCAGCAATATTTGTGATGACGCAAGAGCGAACACTCTCGCTTTCGAAGTGAAATAACTCGACGCGAAATGAAATAACTCCAGCAGGCTAATCAAACCGCATTTCTGCACTATCGGATTATGTTATGGACATTGTCGCATGGCGCGTTCGACGCCGTCGGTGCTGCTTTCGCAGAGAGAGGGAGGCCAGCCGAGGCCAATTACGAAATACAATAATATAAGCGGTAAACTGGCAGTTGTTGCGAAGTCGATACGATACAATACGTAACAGAACAGAATACTACGACGAAACATATAAACAAATTCATATTCATTCCATATACAAATATTACAACGGTCTACTTTTTTTAATTACGACGGGTCGTAAAAAGGAAGTAGTTCTCTAGAGAGCTGTGCTCGAAACAATGTTGGAGTGTCTATTATATAACATCAATGACCCAAAATCTGTAACGAATTAACAAATAGCCTCTTCGAAATTATTATACAGAAATAATTGAAGATTGAAACAAATTGAAAGATTTCTAGCAAACCCACGTTAAATAATGAAAAGTCAACTAGTGGTGCATTAAGGCAAATTGCTGGAACTTACTGTAATTCATTTTTTTTGAAAATTTTGCAAAAAAATAGATTTTTAAATTTTTTTCTAATTTTTTTATTTTAATTTTTATTTTTAACATTTTTGAAAATTTTGAAAAATATTGATTTTTGAAAAACATGAAAAAATCGACAAGTTTGAATTCTTATCTAAATTGTAAATTTTTTTCTAAACGATTGCGCTGCGTATCTCTTTTATAGACGAAATATCGAAGCGCGTAAGCGTCGCAGTCTAATCTTTAAACATTATAAACAGGCATATAAATAAAATTTCTACGTATTGTTAAAATCTCTATAAAATATCTGATAATTTAAGTGCATATATCTAAAGATCATTTTTGGCCACAAAATGGCATTTTATAAAACTGTTTTTCCCAAAAATTTAATCAATTTTTCAAATCTGAAGAAGAAGCTGCCCGAAGATAATATGGAGGAACCTTAGAACTACCACAACCTTACATGAACAGAATAGTAGAATCACTTATTGAAGTGATTCTCTAAATATGATTGTAATATTGATCCGATAAATTTATATGTGTGTTTGAAAGTGTGCGTGTATGTGTGTGAGTGAATGACATAAGCCAAATAGCTCATAGAATGGTCATGTATTCTGATTGCTATTGAAAATAAGAATTAAAAAAAAAAAAAATCAAATCAAGTAAAATCTTTCAGGACGCTCCGTTCTTTTAAAAACTGAATTGCTATTTTTTGCCCCGTATCTTCGAAACGCCTGGACCTGTCTTTGCCAAAAACTAATCAGAACGTTTCTCCATCAATATGAATCAATGCTTTTGAATAATTCAAATTGGTTGATCCATGCTGTCGAATCATGGACTAAAATTTGTATCCAAACATACACACAAACACTACATACATCAATATACACCCAACAATTATTTGTATTGTAAAGTATTCCAAAATGTTCAGAAACCTGTGAAACGTAAAGATATAACAAAAAAATCATTTTCGATTTTTGCGATTACTATAACTTGACCTACGGGAAGCTAAAAATTGTTATCATTATCATTCGAAATTTGTCAAATATGTATGTATAATTTTATATCGTTTTATGATCATTTTGCCATACCTATAATATAGGGGGTTTTGCTCTATATATTTTATGTACATCAAAACCCCGTTAAAACGATTCACAAGAACCGGACCAAAACGTGTCATACATGAAAAAGCGTATAATGCGGGATAGAGGCAACTATATCAAAAACAACTAACAACAATTGCTAAACAAACGATACTCAAAGAATTGTAAGTAAAACGGGTACTGCCTATTGATCAATGCATAGAAATTATTTCCATATAATTATTATATGACAATAAGAATGTACTAGAAGCCAGATAATAAATTATTAAAAAAAAATTATGTGTTTACCTTTTAGTATTTTGAATTGTATTCACGATCAGTCGACGTTTTCGTTGACGATTGGCATCGTCGTTGTTTATTACGCTTTTAAATGGAACTTCACGGGCCGCCGGCGGTTGATACAGCTCTTTAGCAGCACCGTTCGAACAGCTCTTACTTTTTTCCACAACATCACCAACAACATAGGTGGTATGGATAAATAATCTGAAATTGATAATGCAATGAATATAAACAAATTGAAAATATAGCGCCAATAAATGATAAATCTAATTAACTAGTGGGGTGGGTGGCATCGTGCCTTAAGGCAAATTGCTGGAACTTCCCGTATCGTAACGAAATGTTCTAGGAATACTGAATGTTTTCAAATAGATTATTATAAATTTGTAACATGTCTAATATTTATAAGAATTATATAAACTGAATTGCAAAGTTTGAAATTATTTGTTTCAACAAAAACTAAAAAAAAAAAAAAAAAAAATAATGGAACAAAATTTTTTTTTTCCAAAATCAATTATTTTGTTAAGACAAGCAGAAAGTTTTTTGAATCATTCAAATCGGACGCTTAGTTCTCTCAAAAACTGCCATTTTTTACATATTTAGCTCTGTATCTCGAAATGGCTGGGCCTGCCTTTGCCAAAAACTAATAAACACTTCTCCCAATCATTACTATTGAATGTTTTTTAGATCATTCAAATCGGATACTCCGTTCTCTCAAAAATTCGATTTCTATTTTCCCGCACTCTTTGCTCCGTATCTCCGAAACGGCTGGACCTGCCTTTGCCAAAAACTAATCAGCTCTTTTCCCTATCAATAGGAATCGAATGTTTTTTGAACCATTCAAATCGGTTGATCCGTGCGCAATAAAACGTGACTGGAAATTTGTATCCACACATACATACACACCACACACATAACACACCACACACACACACACACACCTACCAATTTTTCTGAGGTATGCCAAAATGTTCAGAAACTTCAAAACGTCGAGAAAATGTAAAATTTTCAATTCCGATTTTTGGCACCATTACAATAACTTACCCCTACGGGAATTAATACAGAAACGATTGATAAAACGTATAATATAAAATAAAAACGATTTTTTTATTCGTCATGTTTAGGAATAATCTCAAAAGAAACAACTAGACTTCTCTTCATGGATTGAACTCTAAAATTATTATTTTTTCTCTCTTTTATGTAGCCATAGCTTATAAGATTTCATTGTACCTTGATTTTTAAGCAAAAAAAAATGTTACAAATAACAGGTGAAATAAAAAAAGGGCTTTGTTAACTCAGCATATTTTCTGTAAATCCAGATCAGAGAAACTCATATCTTAAGGGGTTACAAACACTGTAGCAGTAAAAAAAACGTATGTTT